AATGAACTTTAATTATGTTCTAGATTTACCTTGCACCATAGATTTGTCTTGTTCTCCACAATACATAGCTCATCAGAAGACTGCAGATTTATATGAAAAAAAAATCTGTTAAATTGAACAATTTCTACTGTTTCATACTAGTTTCTTAAGCTAATTTAAAAACAAAAACAAAACTGTACTCTCACCTCATTGCCCATTTCATCAGAGGACAGTTTTCCTTTACATGTCTTAATGTGTACAGCAAGCATCTGTAATGGCATCACCTCATTACACTGGTAACAGGTCTTCTTTGGCATTTTTGAAAACTGCTGTGAGTCAGGAGGCAAGGAAGAGGTGTCCAATGTCTCCTGAAGAGGTACAATGTAAAAAGTGGCTTTGCCACCTGCTGACACAGCACGTAGAGCTTTTACAGAGTACCCCTCCGTTTCAGGTGGAATGACTGAGTTTTCGTCGACCACTGCCACCTTTATTCAAGAGAGGAGAATATTACATACTTAGAATATTTAGGTTTTTTTAAGTATAAAACACTGCAATCTGTGGTGGTTACAGCAAGTAATCAATGCACTATGGAAGTGTATGTATGGGAAAAATAAGAAGGACAACAGTATCTGCAAAACACACAATATAAAACTCAATGAAATGATTAAAATCTTACTAGCCTGTTGCCTTATGCAAGAGCCATCCTCCACAAAGATCCCCCATTTTTGGAAATGTTTCAGCCAGGAGTCTTGAAATCTTATTTTTACGTAAAGTAAAAAGAAAAAAAGGGTGAGAGGGAAAGAAATATAATAATGCAATAACAAGGCTCAAGACTATGGCTTCAATAAGTTTAACAAAAAAAATAATAATTTCACTGGTAATTTGAACACTGACTGACAACTCTACCTCATTGTGGTCACCATCTTCAGGCAAAGATACTGTTTGTCTTCCCATGCCTGCTTGCAGAAGTTCAAGCTCTTCTGTTGGCAATGGTGTAAGTGATGTATTTTTTGGCAGGAGATAAAAAATAAAATATAAAAAATCGGTTAAGTTGGTTCACTGTTTCTGTCATTACATTAGCTGTTAGCTACAGTAAGGACTATGTTGGCTAACTCATGTCTCCCGCTAGCAAACATTTTTCTGGACTGGTCAGATAATGTTAAGTTTCATCAGAGGTATCACAACCAATTATGTGCTATTATAAAACTAGTTATATATCAATAACTCACCTGGCGCTGTGGTGTATTGCTGCCACCTTCTTCATTTGAGTCAGCCATGTCCATGGTCGCGTCATTCCGTCGTCCGATAGCTAGCTTGCGTCTCACCGCCTAGTTATGATTGGATACCGAGACAGCCAATCAGAATTTGCCCTGTCCGACTCCTGATTGGTTGCCTTTGTGGCAAACTGTAATGCTGTGTCATGTTGAGCGAGCATATGGGCAGAGTTGAGCGCACAGGGAGTGCAAGACTGAGAGCGAGAGAGAGAGAGTATAAGCGAGCGGATAGCAGTCTACCAGCTCTCTGAAGAAAAACACTGTAAGGGAACACATGGGGAAAACTGAGGAACAAATGTTGTTAATGCACGCCTATGTGTATTTAGCAAACATGAAAAATAATTTATTGAGCGCGATATTGATTATTGTTCGCTCAAACTGCTTTGTTTTTCGCTTGCTTGTAACTTTCACAAAATATAATTCTAAGTTCTTGCAAAAAACATGTTTTTGTGCTCAAAACTTCGCTTTGATTGCACGTGAATGAGGCGCAAAAATAACGCCATACAAGTGCAGTCCATTTACCATTTACCATATCAAGAGCAGTGGGGAGTATGAGAGCCTCAGCTATTGAATGTGGTTTCATGCGATTCTGTTACAGGTCACCAGACTAACTTTTCCAATGATGGCACTGGTGCTGCCAACTTTTTCATTGGTCACACCCGCTAATGATTGGGTCGCTCCACTCCCTTGTTTTGGTTCATCATTGCCACAGCAGTCCTTTTCTGACATCAGTCATTAACTGGACACAGGCTAAACAATTGCTGGAAGTGCCCATGGGTAGATGCCTCACATGCTGCTCCGGTAGATGCTACATTTTCCGATGTTCCCTACGTGCCTCACATGCTGCTCCGGTAGATTGTCTTTTCATGAACAGTCTTTTCTATATGGCGACTTTCTGTTACATTGATTCTGATTGGCTATCAGTGGGAATCCATAGATGTGAATAATCATCCAGTCATTAAATGAAATTAGCAATAATAATAATAATAATAATAATAATAATAATGATAATAATGATGGGGCTGCAGAGTGGCGCAGTTGGTAGCACTGTTGCCTCGCAGCAAGAAGGTTGCCGGTTCGCGTCCCGGTGGGGCACCGGAATCCTTCTGCGTGGAGTTTGCATGTTCTCCCCGTGCAGCGTGGGTTCTCTCCGGGTTCTCCAGCTTCCTCCCACAAGTCCAAAAACATGTTGAGGTTAATTGGTGATTCTAAATTGTCCGTACGTGTGAATGTGAGTGTGCTTGGTTGTCTGTCTCTAAGTGTGGCCCTGCGATAGACTGGCGACCTGTCCAGGGTGTCCCCTGCCTTTGCCCTAAGTCAGCTGGGATAGGCTCCAGTCCCCCCGTGATCCTAGTGAGGATTAAGCGTTGTATAGATAATGGATGGATGGATAATAATAATAATTGCGTACAGGGTTCTTGCCAGCGTCATAACAGAGTAATGGCCCGCTACGCTGCTGCCTGAAAAAGTTACGCTGCAAATTGGGCCGATACGTTGTTTCAGGGCTGCAAGGTGGCGCAGTTGGTTAGCACTGTTGTCTCGCAGCAAGAAGGTCGCCGGTTCGTATCCCAGTGGGGGCACCGGAATCCTTCTGCGTGGAGTTTGCATGTTCTCCCTGTGCAGCATGGGTTCTCTCCGGGTTCTCCGGCTTCCTCCCACAAGTCCAAAAACATGTTGAGGTTAATTGGTGATTCTAAATTGTCCGTACGTGTGAATGTGAGTGTGCTTGGTTGTCTGTCTCTAAGTGTGGCCCTGCGATAGACTGGCGACCTGTCCAGGGTGTCCCCTGCCTTTGCCCTAAGTCAGCTGGGATAGGCTCCAGTCCCCCCGTGATCCTAGTGAGGATTAAGCGTTGTATAGATAATGGATGGATGGATAATAATAATAATTGCGTACAGGGTTCTTGCCAGCGTCATAACAGAGTAATGGCCCGCTACGCTGCTGCCTGAAAAAGTTACGCTGCAAATTGGGCCGATACGTTGTTTCAGGGCTGCAAGGTGGCGCAGTTGGTTAGCACTGTTGTCTCGCAGCAAGAAGGTCGCCGGTTCGTATCCCAGTGGGGGCACCGGAATCCTTCTGCGTGGAGTTTGCATGTTCTCCCCGTGCAGCGTGGGTTCTCTCCGGGTTCTCCGGCTTCCTCTGACACTGTCCAAAAACATGTTGAGGTTAACTGGTGATTCTAAATTGTCCGTAGGTGTGAATGAGAATGTGCTTGGTTGTCTGTCTCTAAGTGTAGCCCTGCGATAGACTGGCGACTTGTCCAGGGTGTCCCCTGCCTTCGCCCTAAGTCGGCTGGAATAGCCCCCCCGTGACCCCAGTGAGGATTAAGCGGTGTACAGATAATGGATGGATGGATGTATGTTGTTTTCGAGGGGACACCCCCCGACGTCGGTGACTTCTCAACCAAGCCCAGCGTCATTTACTTTTAATTCCTGTATCGATGAGGAGAACTTCCTCGCCTTCAAGAATCTGTTCTCCAAGCTCCTGATATCAGTGTACAGAACTCCCTGAAACTCACGTGAAACTCCAGTATGGATTCAACTGCAGCTGGATCTCAATGTCTTTCAAAGACCCGGCCCCACTCTATTTCCCATTGGCTAGTGATATTAGTTTGGTTGACATCAAAAGCTGCTTTTTTTTGTTTCCAGAGCCAAGCGCTGCACGCCGGAAATCCGACATGGTGCCACAATACTTTTAAGCCATGGGAATATTCCAGCTTTTTTGATGGTGTTCAGGCAGTCCAGAGGAAGGTGGTGGTTGAGGTGGAGGTTGGAGGCAGAGTCCAGCAGCAACCTGGTCTGATGGGTCTCAGCAGTGAGGGCAATGAGCAAACCATGATAATCCAGATGATGATCCAGGGTATGACAGCCGAAGTACGGTGCCGGTAGTCCCCGGAGTGGAGGAAAAAGGAACGATCAGTCTGGAGCTGGGTGGAGGTTGGACGATACGCCAGCTAGCCTGCTAGCTTGGAAATGAGCAAAGACAGCAGGTCTCACTGGCGATTCCTTTACATCGGAATCCAAACGTAGATATCCTTCGGAGCTAAAGAAGCTGGTGCTGCAGGATCGATAAGGTAAATTGGTTTCCTACCAGCAGAAGTCAGTTTGAACCTGACTATCAGCAGTTGGCACGTTAGTACAACCAGCTAACTAGCCCAAACAGGGCAGACTGCAAGATGAGTTCATGTAACTTCTCAGGAGAGCTGCTTTGAGAAGCAGGAGAGACGCAGTGTTCTTGGCTGGGAGTTGTGACTTCTGTTGGAATATTTAATTTTGTGAAAGCACTGTGTTATTCCACACCGGTATTGCCCCGTACAGGGCTACTGGTCCAGCTCTCCGTTACTAGGATTAAGTTCTAGCTGGCGACAGGCCCTTGACCTAATAGGATTCTATGGAACTGCTTAAGCTGGTGTCGAGGAAATTCGCCTAGCTTCTGACTGCCTTAATCCAGATGTCTACCCCGCTTCTTCTAATAGGCAACCCAACTAAGTAGCCTTAGTAGTTGAACCACCCACCAGACACGCCTCTTAGTGGCAGCTTTCCTCTTAATGGAATGAGCACTTGGTAAATTGCTAGGTTGGATTTTAGAGGTTTGGCACTACTAACCCCAGGGACATGTTTAAATATTCTATTTTACTTGCGACTTAGAATAACCGTTAAGAACCACTAAAAGATCATGTGCACACAATTGTCTAACTTTTTACTACCATCAGATACTTGAAATGACTCAATAAAATTTCAGTTCATATTGTCTTTAAATGCAAGATTAAATATTTATTGCATCTCTTTTAGCATGGGCAAAGCAACAGCAATTGATTGTTCACTCATAATTACTCACATTTTAGTTAAACCCGATTATTTTGAAAACAGTAATATAATCTGTGCTCAACTAAACTAAAATTAATAACAAAAATAGTTAATTTGAAGAGGGAGAGAGCCTAACAGCCCAGCTGGAACTGATCAACTCAGCTCCGTCTTGTCCTGAGCTAAGAGAGGCTCCCTACCAGCAGAGCAGAAACCTGGTACGGGGCACGGATGCGCAGGCGGAGTCCTCCAGTCAGGGGGAGACGAGGATTCGCAACTCCGATTAGAACTGCAGTCTGTTTTTGTATTCCAAGGGGTAAAGAAGTGAGGCCTGTTCTTCTGGCAGAACACAGAAAAAGGTTCTGCCACTCCTCTTCAATTCAATTCAATTCAATTCAATTTTATTTGTATAGCGCATATTTACAACAACAAGTCATCTCATAGCGCTTCACAAAGGCAGAAACAGAAACACCCAACAATCCAAAACATCTGGATTCCCTATAAGCTTCAGCAGTCCGCAAGCAGTCCACAACAGTGGGAAGGAACCTCTTCTGTTGCACTACAGTCCCATTGCAACTCCTTCAAAGTGCGCTCTGTCAATCGAAAAATGTGTGTAAGAGTCCCTCAAGCATCTCTCAATTTCCTGGTCAGAAGACATCCAAGTGTGTTCTCCGTCCAGAGTGATCTCCAGAGCGTTCTCCAGCACATTCTCCGACAAACATCTCTTCGTCTGTGGCTTTTATAGTATTTCTACAGCTCTCTCCCCCATACACATTGTCTGATTAGAACTAATGCACACTCATTACTACACACCAGTGATACACGCTGGATACACACATTCATTGTTACACACACATTTCCAGTAGATGTTTCGCCCTTTTACTTCTGAGTCATGAGGTGTTGCAGCCTTTAGTGCAACACACTAACTCCATCTTTGGTAACCGGAATGGACACAGTTTGGCAAACACAGGATGCTTAAGAGCCAAAGAGCCATCTGTTTACAAAAAGAGGAACCTCTGTTTATCTAAAGAGGATCCTTGGGCTACTTTAGCAATGGGCTCATCTTGCAATCATCCTGTGACTAACAGCCTCATATGACTTGTTCTGTATCACCCTGTTTTTAAGGACACTGTCCTCACTTCCTCCTTTAAACTCCTTATGAATTCTACTGGAAACCACCTAAACTTCTTGAATCCACTATAATGTTTAGAATCATCAGCTTAACCTTAACACTACTGATTATCTGGTTATACAATGCCTATTATAGAATCATTGTTTCAATCTAATCATATTATTTGTAGCACAGCAGATAATATTTTAAATCATAAAGTCTTTTATATTGCTTACTGCAGAGCCAAGGTTCTTTGTTAGTGGCTGTGTCTGGGATCTCAAAACCTTGACTCCACTTGACAACTGATAGCTCATAATTGACACTAGCGTCATTTAATGCATATTAATGTGTGAGTTGTGCTGATCTTAAGAAGGGGAAAGAAGAATACATTCAGGCCAGAGAGACCAAACTCAGAGAGGTTAAGCCAAGTCAGATAGAAGGAATGCACACACACACACACACACACACACACACACACACACACACACACACCTATCAGTGTATTGCACCCATAGACATACCATCCCCCTATAAACTAATAGTAATTAAGACAGAGGAAAAGTACTGACATACAGAGAGCGGGGATGTTTTGGGGGAAGTTTCTCTTTACAGGGTGTGGATGCTGTGAATTGGATGGATCAGATACCAAGAGATATGGACATATCTATGCACCAACAAAGGGAGAGCTAAGTTTAAACCATGGCTCCTCCTCAACCAGATAGCCATTCACGTTTCACTATTTAAATTAAATGTCTGTGTTTAGTAGCCAATCAACGTGCACTACACTGAATAAAATGTTTATGCTTACATGAGGCTGCATCCATTGCCTGGGAAGTGGGTGACAGAGTAACAGCTTGCTGACTGTGATTTTCTGAATCAGTAATGGATCCTTGATCAAGTAAAATATTCTACTGTAGAATAAATAACAGTAAATGAAAGAAGTAGTTTGTCTCCTATCTCAAAAGAACGAACACGCGTCAACACTTCTCACTCTGTAGACACTCAGATCTCAAGTTTTTTAAAGGTTAAGTTACCGTTTTTCAAAGTTAAATTAAGTTAAGTTGTGGGAGAGCAGCAGCAGCCAGTCGCACCAGCGCGCACCCCGCATGACTACAGCTGAAAATCTTAGTGGTGGTTATAGCTTTTCAGTTATGAGAGTTTGATCCTTTTCTTTGTTAACATCACAGTAAACTTTCTGTTTTGGACTGTGACAAAAAAATATCTGATTGTGTCATGTATGTGGTACCATGTAAGCTCATTAAGACTGAGTGATTGCATTACATTATTGAAAAAAAACTACTTTTCAAATCAGTGTGTTTGCTTCAGATTCAGAGCAGACAGGCCCATTCTATGGCTGTTCATCACAGAGCTTTTATTCCTTCTTTCTCTTATTGTCTGGCGCCCTGCCAGACTCTCTCTTATCTCTGTCTGCTATCTCCTCTGTCCCACACAAGCTGTTCGCCACAGCAGCTCGCACTCCTATACAAGGTGCCAAAAAGGACAAAAGCCACGCGAAAATTGGGAGAGGAGACAGCAATACACGTGTGAGACGAGACGAGTTTTTACTTCATGAAGGGTGAATACAATAAAATGTTCCAGAGGATTTGATCCGCAAAGTCCATCCAGATCTGCAAATCAAGATCAGACGTAGAGCTGCTTGGTGATATTACTTTTGGTGGCCTGCTTGCAATATTTTACATTGCATCTTGCTTTGTTCACAGCATATTTTGTTAGCTAAAATCTCAGACCATGTTGCCTCCTCTTTATCAGTTTCTGAACACATGCCTATCACAGTTGTCCTTGTGTTTAATGTTTAAGATATTTGAATGTCGAAGTCACTTTCGAGGGAGTTAAAGCAACAGTCTGCAGTAGTTTGCCACTTTTACTTTATTAAGCAACGGCTTTTAAGTATCCTCAAATTGCTCATGATCATTTTAATTACATGTTTGCACACTCTTCAGCAAACAGGTTTTCATTTAAATGAAGTGCTGCTGCAAATCTTTGTATTGTATAATGCGAAACAGAATGAGAGGCATTCCATGGCTAAGGTTCAGCTTTTTCCCCCCTTCAAAATAACTGAACAGTCCTTCAGTTTGTTCTCTCTCAGCCTGGAGAGATGCCTTTTTTTTTTTTTACTTCCATCAAAGCACCCAGAGGCAGTGTTGCTCTTCCTTTGCCTCCCCTCTCCCTGTGCAAGCGTGGGGCCGAGGGGACCGTGGTGGTGTGCTGATGAGCTGCAGCAACCGACCACAGGCAGCGTGGCATGCTGAAGCCCTATGTGTACCGTGGAAGCAACACTAACACAAGCCTAAGGAACCAATCACACACACTTGACAAGAGACTTTTGATACCGTACCCCCCAATATTGCAACAGTTCTAGAGGTAGCTGCAGTGTAAATTTTTAATCCAAGTTGTTTAAAGGCACAAAGGGGTTATTTGTTATAGCTAATGGTTTATCTGGACAGGTTTTATTGCACACAGTCAATCAGGAGTCTGCCACAGTGAGTTGCAGGCTGGAGCTTGGTCGTTGAAACGATGATGAAACTGGAAATCAGAAGCTAAGGCATGAGGAAGCTGCGAGTTAGACCGCCATAAAAACATTACAAAGCAAATTCAATAAGCAGACTACCAAGGGAGCAAGGCAAAACACACCGGCATGCAGCGGAGTGATGAACTGGGGATTAAATACTGCAGGTAGGGATCAGAATCAGAAATCAGAATCAGAAACAAATTTATTGCCAGGTATAGTTCTCACAATACAAGGAATTTGTTCTGGTGGGTTGGTGCAACAAAACAACAATAAATATACAGTAAACAATAAATATACAGTAAAATAAAGTAACTAAAATTAAAAAGAAAAATGCAATTGCGCACACAACTGTAATAGTGCAAAGAATCAAAATTTAATTTAAAGTTAAATAGGAATGGTAGTGTTATTTACAAAAATGTTGAGGATGCTGATATATTGTTATTTACATTTATACAGATATAGAGGGGGCAGGGGGTCAGTGGGGGTCCTGTGCATTGTTTTTGAGGCTGGTGGCAGACGGAAAGAAACTGTGGCTTGAGGTTCTGGTCCTGATGGACCGAAGCCTCCTGCCAGAGGGGAGTGTTTGACAGAGTTTGTGTCAAGGGTGGGAGGGGTCGGCCACAATCTTACCTGCACGCCTCACAGGCGTGGAGGCGTAAGAAAACAATAAACAGTAGATGACTCTCAGATGTGTCTGATGATTGCTCTTGAATAAGAACAGCAAGCCCAGGAACACAAATAGAAGACAAGTGGGGACAAACAAGGGACAAAAGTGGGAAAACATGTAGAAATACAATCATCATGGCACCAAAACATTATTTTAATGGAAACAAAACTTCTAAATATGTTACTGATGCACAGAGCTAAGTTATAGTGGTTTAAATCAACGAGCAGAGAGGGACATTGAATCAAAAAAATGGTCAAAACTGTTATACCAAAGTTATGGAAAGATATTCAGATTACAGATACATACACTCATGCTGCCTTTGAGGACCCCTCAAAGTACATTCCTAATGAACAAATACAGGTTTTCTCTGAACAAAGGACCAAATCTAAAACTCAAGCAGTTTTAAAAAAATATATATTTCAGCACAAACATCGATCCATAAACAACAAAGAGAGCAAAAAAGACACATTTTAATTGACAAAGACGCACCCACAAAACTCTTAATTGCAAGCTACGCCTTATTTACTTCGCTCTATTACAGATTAAAACGTCTATTTAAAAAAAAAAAAACAACTTTACAGTTACAAAGTCAGAGTCTGTACAACACAAGCACAGCTGATCAAGATGGTTTGTGTTAAATTCAGTCGCTTAATTATATTATGATTACAATCTAGCAAAGTCTTGATATCAGCCTCATATGTTGCCTTCTATTGAATCTGGTACAAAACAGCTCTGACAGATGCAGCTGCAGCTGTTAAGTTCTTCATGTAAAATAAAGAGGTGACTTTTCAAACTGACAAAATGAACCACAACAAACATTATGCTAAAGCAGATGCAAAAAACCCCCCAAAAAACACAGAAGTTCAATAAATGAACAATATAAATCAAATAAACAAGTCAGGGGTTCATACAGCGTACTACTTCCATTAAGCTGAAATACATTTGCAAGTTCAAACAGCTACCTAAGTAGTTTAACTAGTCGACAAATCCAAATCACCTGAACTAAGACAAAGCTTTACACTGGATGTGATACTTAATCAGCATAATCTGTGGCTGTTTGGAGAACAAACTGCTAAAATTGTAAATCAGCCTTTTCCCTTATATTATGAAGTTAGAATGACACATTGTATTTCACAGACGATCGGTTTGCAGTCAGACTTGTGGGAATTCATGGCAGATGTTAAAACTGTGTCATGACATGCTATTATTCCTAAAGTATAATTTGTGAAGCATAATTTTTTTCTTATTCTTATTTATTATTATTATTATACGACAGCCCATCATAGGTCTTCCCAGTGCATCTTCTGGAGACCCTCCAGTGTCATCTCAGTGGATTGACTCACCTAATTGTAATGGAATTCTACATTCACATTATCTTCTGACCACTTTGATGACCACTGGCAATTTTGTCATCAACTTTGAGACTCAAATTTCATTCTTGACCCCCCGTAAACAGTTGTCGACAAAACAAATTTCACAGTCCATTTAACGGTCCCTCTGCTGATCATCTACCGAACGGATC